CTTGAACTCCTCGTCCTCCGCTGTGTTGGTCGTGTCGAGTAGCTCCTGCCATCGCCCGTACAACGTGCGCGCACCATTCACGCTCTGAACCACTTCCCTGTGTACGCGTACACCGCACACAACCACACAACAGCCAAACACGCAAAAACGATGCAAAGATCAGAGAAGCCGCTCGAATGATGATGGCAATCAAATGTAATGAAAGCCGAGAAATCAAAATGAAGCCGGAAGAAGGAGCGTACTCTTTTACAACGTAGAAGGGATCTTGCATTATTTATATCTTCGTGGAAAGGGGAGGCGAGGGGTGGAGGTGCTAGTGATGAATTATATCAGTTTCGTGTTCTCTATCCAATCGATGTGTGCGTTCGAACGAATATCAAAATGAAAAATCCAGAGAAAATGATGACACGTGTCGCGAGTCCTGCTTCTGTACGAACCGTGTTCCTTGAACGAAACTGCTTCGTGCTCACGCTCGAGGAGCAAACCACCAGCGACTTTGCAACTACTCGTGCCACGCCCAGTACATAAGTGTATTACATAATACATGTTTGTTCGTGATCTTGTTCCCTCACCAAAAATCACACCTCAACCACTCCCTCTCGCCTGGTAGAGCTCTCTGATGTTCCCCTCCCTCTTTTCCACCATCCATGCCTCCCTCCCGCCTGGTAGAGCTCTCGTCTTGATGTTTCACCGTCTTCTTCGTTCTCCCTCGTTCGCTTTCGCTTTCGCTTTCGTCTTCTTCGGCACGTCGATGCCTAAGTTGATGAACGGACCGATGGTTGTCATGAACGACCTGCAGTCGCTCAGATTTCGCAGTTGGAGGGCCTCACTCGCGGTGTTGATGGAGGCGGCCCACTGGTACTTCTCCTTGATCCGACGTAGGAGCGGCGTGCATCCGAGTTGGGCGATGAAGATGATGATCCCCTGCAGGTCGAAGCACCCCTCCGCGATTGTCATCCCGGCGATGTAGGCATCAGAGAGTCGGTCCCATGGATGGTTCTCGTGATCGCGGGCACGATGAATCGACATCTGAGCTGAGTGCTCCTTGAAGCTGGGACGCTGGCGGTCAGAGAGTAGAAACTTCTCGGCGGTTGTCAGCTCGGAATGCTTGATGATCGAGTGGGCGAGTAGGTCCTGAAACAGCGGATTATTGATGGTGGAGTTGTTGAAGTTGAGGAAGTGTACTGGCCTCTGCGATGCCGACTTCCGTGGATCATAGCCGAAGTTGCCGCCCCACCACCGCTGACTGATCCATTCGAGCTCGGGTGGCCTTCCGTGTACGCCTGCCCAAAGGTGATCCGCACGAAGCCTAGTGTGGAGAGATATCTGTCCAGTACGCCTGGGGGTGAATCCGTAATGGCCACCACAGAGGCCGTAGGGAAAGCAGTAACGCGTTTCTTCTTTGGCGGCAGGCTCAGTAGCAGCTCTGCTAGAAGACTGGATTCGGCCATTCCGCAAGAAAGGAAACAAAAGAACGGCAAATATAGCACGATCATTCATTATCTGCCTAGGCGAGCCGAGGGTTGCCGACCGAGGTCGCGGCCGGAAACAACCGGCACCACGAAGCTGAGAGCAGAAAAGGAACAAGAGCTCTATCCACGGTGCCACAAACGAAAACGAAAACAAAACGAAAATACTGAACGAAACAGATCTGGTTATTAATCTAATTTTAAAAAAACACCAACCCCCAAAGCCCCAACGATTATTTCTCGGTGTCTTCGCGCGGCCACGGGCAACTGATGTCGCGACGTGCCGACAAAGTAGTCATGCATGGCATCAAATGTGTAGTCGTTGGTATGCCCTCCCCCCCCCCGGGGCCTTATTGAGGCTGGAATTTGTCGTGACCCCTTTGAATTATTCTCAATTCTGATCCGATCTCGGGATCTGACATCAAATGCTTTCCAGGTGATGGTGCCGTAGGAAAGACGTGCATGCTCATGTCCTTCGCCAACAATGTCTTCCCGCAAGAGTACTTCCCCCTCCCTGCATCGTTTTCGTTCTTTTTGGCCGCGGGCCAAAATTTTGATCAAGTAAGCCTTGTTCACCTCACCTCTGTGTGGTGCTCGTCGCGACGAACAGGTACATTCCTACAGTCTTTGACAATTGGAATACCGCTATAATGGTGGACGACTCTCCATACAATCTCGGGTCCGTCTTGCTCCCTCTTCGCGTCCCCTTGCTCTTCCTCCTCGAGCAGCACAGCGTTGCTGACGTGTGGCCGTCCACGGTTGCGACGCAGGCTCTGGGACACGGCCGGCCAGGAGGAGTACGACCGATTGCGAGCACTCTGCTACCCGCAGACCGACGTCTTCCTCATCTGCTTCTCCCTCGTCACGCCGAGCTCCTTCGAGAACGTCCGACTGCGGGTATTCCCATCCACCACATATTTCTTCCCGTTTTACGCTCGCCGTGCGCGCGTGTTGCGTGTGCTGTGTTGTGCGTACGTGTTGTGTGTCGAGCCTGTGTTCCTCACTAGCAGCTTCGGGTGTGGGCGATGTGTGAATTCCACAGTGGCAGCCGGAGCTGGCCACACACTGCCCGACCGTGCCGTTCATCCTGGTGGGACTGAAGATCGATCTCAGGGAGGACCCAACCGCGCTCGAAACGCTCTACAAACAAAAGCTGTCGCCCATCACCACCGACGAGGTACCCTTCGCGCGCACCACCCACCGCGGCGATCGCATTCCGCCGTTTCTCACCGCCACCCGCAGGGTAGGAGGTTGGCCCAGGAGCTCGGCGCTGCGGCCTATGCCGAGTGCTCAGCCATGACACAAAGAGTACTCTCCCGCCCTTTTCTTTTTCTTTGTGTTCTATGTTTGCAAGTCACATGACTGACTTTAACGGCGCCGTGTGTGCCATGTGTGTCGTGTGCGGCGTAGGGTTTGAAAACGGTGTTTGATGAGGCAACGCGAGCAGTGCTCAAGAACAGGGCTGCGGCAGCGGCGGCCGAGGAGCAGACCCGGCGGGACTCGATGGCGGCAGCGGCCCCGCCGCCCAGCAGACCGCCGCCCAAGCAGAGCGGCTGCTGCCTCCTCAGCTGAGGTGGTACCAGCCAGGCATCCACGTGCGTAGAAGAACACGCGAACGAGAACGAAGAAGACGCGAAACATCAAGAGAGCTCTACCAGGCGAGAGGGAGTGGCTGAGGTGTGATTTTTGGTGAGCGAACGAGATCACGAACAAACATGTATTATGTAAATACACTTATGTACTACACGCCACCAATAGCCCAGCCCCTGGTGGTGGCCGAATGGACGTGGGCAAATGCGTAACTGCCGGCCCTCACGGGCTTTACTGTTTTCCCCACTCGAGTCCCAGCCACGCGGCCAGGTAGTTCATTTGGACGCGCGAATGTTGTCACAAAAAAAATGAATGTCAAAAGATATAAAACAGAAAACACACAAAAGATGGAAGGGAGGCGAAGAACATCGATACGCAAGCTGCTAGTGGCCAATCGAGGCGAGATTGCCCTGCGGGTGATGCGGGCGTGCCGCGAACTCGACATCGCGACCGTGGCCGTGCATTCAGTGGCCGATCTCGACGCCCCCTTCGTCCAAGCGGCCGACGAGGCGGTCCTCATCGGCGACGGCCCCGCTGCCTCCTCATCCTACCTGCGAGTTGACGCCATCCTCGACGCCGCCCGGCGTGTTGGGGCAGACGCAATCCACCCAGGCACAATCCTTGATTATTTTTTCTATTTTAATCTGCCTTTATTATTTGTATTTAAAATAGGCATTTTGTTATTTATTAATTATTGTTTATTGATTTATTTCGTTTTCTACAATGTTGGCTGCAGGCTACGGGTTCCTGTCAGAGAACGAGGGCTTTGCCCGGCGGTGCGAGGAAGAGGGTATCATCTTCGTCGGTCCCACGCCCGAGGCCATCGCCTCCATGGGCTCCAAGCGCGGCGCCAAGCTGCTCCTACGGTACCTTCGCCTT